GAAATCCAGCAACCCTTTGCTGCCTGGCCAACAGCTCCCCCTGTGCACAAAGCATCCTACCCCCTGTTAAAACTGGAGATGGGGAAAGACTGAATGCAGGGGTACATGGCGACCTGGGACACAGGCATGGGTCTTGAGGAAACCAGAAGGGAGAAAAAGGCATGTCTGCTGCAGCTGATGGCATATGTTTTGAAGTGTGGGAGTATTTTTACTTTTTAATTTTCATTCAGGTTGGATTCAGGATCATGAATGTGTCTATGCCCTGATGTGCTGAGAACTTGCATATCCATGTAAGAGCTGTTGAGGACTGATGTGTCTTCACATCACCAGTGACTTGATCATCTAACCTTGGCGGGTACCAAATCCGCCTCTTCCCAAAGATAAGTAAAATAAAAACTACCTGACCCCAAATTGCAATACTTTACCTCGATTTCATTATGAAGATTCCAGACTTCATCCACTGTGCTGAAAAAGGAAAGAAAACCAATGAAAGGCATCAATGGGTGCTGATGCACCTAAGAGCAGCTTTAGGAGTAGGAAAGAGCATCAAAAAGCAGACAGGAGCAGGTTAGCTCTGCTGCTGGAGCTGCAGCTAATGGAATCACAGAATCACAGAATGCTAGGGGTTGGAAGGGACCTCCAGAGATCATCGAGTCCAACCCCCCTGCCAGAGCAGGACCATCTAGTCTAGGGCAGGTCACACAGGAACGCATGCAGACAGGTCTTAAAAGTCTCCCAGGAAGGAGACTCCAAGGAGACTCCCTGGGGAGCCTGACAGTAAAGAAGTTCTTCCTCATGTTGAGGTGGAACTCCCTCTGCTCCAGCTTGTGAGAAAAAGACAACTTTGGCCAAGTCCCAGGTTTTCTCTGAAGTGCTGGGATTCTTATTTCTGCTTCTGCCCGTGATGGGGGGCTGAAGACTAAAGGCAGATTGGTGCAGTGCTACTTTGGCCTGACAAGTTCTGAGGAGCTGGGAGCTCAAAGGCCAGGCTGTGTGAGGTGAACTGATCCTTTGATGCAGGGACAGACGTACTGCCTGTGTGGGACAGCACAAAATACACCCTCTCTGCTACAGGATTGGAATCCTTCCTCAACACTAAGTGCCCAGTGCAGACACTGCAGCAAGGCAGAGCAAGCCTCCTCCCCTGTGCATTTACCTTCCGTCTTACAGGGCCCCGACCTCATGGCATGACAGACACATTAACCAGTGCTGAAGCCGACACTCTATTTCATTCCCACAAGCTTCATCCAGTTCCTAAGCAAGAGGCTTTGAGCCTCCACCCTCATTCCCATCTTCAGTACTAGAACAGTTTGCCAGAAGCAAAGCCTGCAGGCTTATGGCACTGACACAAATCGCTTTCGATTTGCTCCCGCCCTTGTGTTTTCTGCCTTGTATTTTCTCAGACTTATGCAGCTGGGGCAGGACCCCTAACGTAGCAAACTCTGCTGGTCCCCAAAAGAGTAACCCAAATCCTCACACCTCACTCACTTCACTCAGATTTACTCACTTTGTTCTCATGCTTCTTACAATAGCCGAAAATCGAGGCGCCTGAGAAGGAAATAAGAAAAAAACAAAATAATTAAGATTAATCCCAGCCCTGTCCTCTGAGACAGCTCTGTCTCAAATACAAGCTGGTGATTCAATGCCCAGGCAGGACTCATGGATTTCTCCCAAAGTGGGGAGAGGAGGAACAGAGATAGCATCACTCCAATTTGGAGATGTGTCTAAGCAGAGCCAGGAAGCAATGCTTGGATAAAGCTCTATGGTAAAGCTTTATGGCACTGGGAGACAAGATATTCACCACCTATTGCTTAACTCCATCTATGCTAGAAAGAAATGGACCTTACGAAAGGTTTGGCAATCCACGAAAGGACGGTTTTTAGCCAGTTTGGTGACCTCGCCAGCCAGAAGAACAGCCCTGTGGTGCCTCTCTCCAGCTCCCCTTTGCTGAAAGAGAAAAGCATGTTTAGCTGAGCAGTGTTATGAAGCAATCACAAAAGGTCAGTTTTCACAAAGCCAAACCCTCTGAACATCATATTTAAGTGACAAAAAGAGGTTTCCTGCATTCCTCTGAGGTCCCCCGATTCCCACAGTATTTGTAGGATATTAGCACCCACTTTCCTTTCATCTGCCAAAGTTGGTAACAATCCCAAAAAGATAGCAGATACAGTTGATGGTAAGCTCCCCAGCAAATCCCACTGCCTATCAGATACTATCTCCATCCAGCAGGTCTGCTACCTGGATCCAGATGGTAGCCAGACCCTAGGGGGGGGATTCTCATAGAAAGGCAGCAATTACACCAAACTGTTCCAGGCTATACTTACAACTTCTTGACAAAGGAGACGCCTCCATCTGCAAACAGGCCCCTGACACAGAAGTTAAAGACCACATAGTCCACATTTGTGAGCTCAAAGGGCACCAGCTGGAAGGACAATGGAAGAGGAGTCAGTGGCACAAGAACAAGTAAGCTGTGTGGGAGAAGCCATCAAGGGCATACAATGGGCCAAGCTGGGCTGAAGATTTCCCGACAAGCCCTCAAGAAAGCCTTCAGCATCTGAGGCCACCAGGTCCTCCCTGCCTCACTGTCCTTTCTTGAAAATGCCATTTTCCCCGTAGAGCAAAACCTGATGAGTCAAAAGATGGAGGATAGGCATAGACCCCCGATGTCCAAGCAGCTCCAAGGCACAAAGGTCCTTCCAAAACTGGCAGTGGGTGACAGAGAGCATGTCTGTGCTCCCCTCTTCATGCCTGACCTTTGTACAAAGTTAAGGGGGGGGGGTGTGGATGAGGGGGAGCATGTAGCCATGACCATGCCTCACACACACGAGAGGACTTGCTGAAAAGGCAGACAGGAGGAAGGAGACAACCCCTTGCTCAGCATCCCAGAAACCTGAGACCCTAGAAATAGGTCTAGGTAAATATGGGGCTCCTTGGCTGTATAAGATCTGCCACCTGCAACTGCCATGTTATTTTCTCCTTAGGTCCTTGCTTCTGGATACAAAACCAGGAGGTGGCTTTCCATGCAACAGTCAGATCTGTAGAACTGTTTGCCAAAGGATATGGTGCAGAAGAGATGAAACTGCCATAAGAATAGACTAAACAAGTAGTTGGGACAACTTGACAGACACTAAAGAGAGGGGGTCCATCAAGCTGAGCAAATGCAATGAGCTGACAACACCATACACCACTAGGATTGTAACCTCCCTGTGGGCACTGCCCCAGGACCTGGGCTTTACAGCACCTAGCACAATGCAGATCTCAGCCAGGATGTGATTAAATGCACCCGCACTACAGACAAGTCATAAAGGAGCATGTCTACTCCCCAGCATTTGTTATCGACTGGGGTGGGCTCTCTGTTCTCTTCACCAGCACCTAAAGAGCACTGAGATCCTGCTGAGAGGAGAAACCACGTTGTAATATAAAGAATTTCTCCTTTCCAGAAGCAACTATCTATTTTTATGAAAGCATGATGGATTCCAAGCCCCCTTGCCTTACTATATTCACTTGATGTTCACCCACAGGTCCCAAAGACATGGTTGGAAGGAAGAATAGATGCCACATGACTACTGGGTTCATGCAACATCCTACCGTGTGGCCAGCATCCTCCAACAGCTGCTTTGTCTCCCGAACAGCACGTCTCATGGCAGGGCTTGGCATGGTGTAGAAATCAGTTTCGTAGTAGCCTATGCGGAGGGGCTGTGTGCCAGAATACACCTGCAGAGCAAGGGAGAGTCCCAGCTGGAAGGGTGCCAGCAGCATCAGGAGACAACGGGACACCCAACAGGACACTCCGACCGCAGGGCGAGTCTCAAAAGCAGCGCTTCTCTCACCCACGTGCCCACCCACAGGTGCCAGGGGGGCTCCCGTGAGCCACTGGCATTTTCAGCATGAGCAATGGCAGCTCTGCTCAGAGACCTTCAGTCCCTTTTGGGTCCTATACCTCCTCGTTGAAGGGAAGAGGGGGCACCGTGCTGTCCAGGCTGAACATATCCTCGCTCAGGAGCGCCCGCATGCACAGCGCCAGGCTCTCCACGTCTTTTGCTATCGGCCCCACTGCTGCAATCACTGGAAGAGACCAGAAGAGAGAACTCATGGCTGGGGGTCTTTCAAGGCCATGTCCTGCAAAAGCAGGATCTCTTGGCATCATTTTGACTTGGTCTAGTGCTGGCAACAGTTCCTCTCTGAGACGTTTGGCTGGGGCTCTCTACTGGACTCTTCCCACCAGCAGGGCCATCGTTATGGACCCAGAGTTGTTGTCCGTTAGTACGTGCTGCAATGTTTCCATTTCACGAGTGAGAAAATTAAACAAAAAGCTTTGTTGATCACAACACAGGGACAACATAAGACACCCTCTTTGGCTGCTAACCAGACCTCCCATGAAGTAATGGCAGACAACATGGCACCATGGGGGTTACAGGGTGTGATAGGGTTTGTGTAGCACAAACTGCTCCTCTTGGCTCCTGTATATTCCAGTTTCCCAGGACTCATGGTACGAGGGTCGCTCTCTGAAACAGTCCCTGCTTCTCTCTCTGAATGTGTTGGAGAAGGTCCCTCATAACCAGCTGAGGGTCCTTCTCATCCCCGCTCTACTGCCCTCCCTGGGGGACAACCACCAACTCCTACCTGCCTTTTGTCCAAGGACACCAGAAATTACTCCTTTTTTACTGTGAAGAAAACAGAAACAAAATACACCAGCTGAGTAGTTTTCTTTGAAGGGAAAGGCTTTAAGCAGGAGCAAGTGAAAATGCTGCCCTCCCTTTGCAGATGCAGGGGTTGGCAGAAGGGCCAAGGGGAAGCCCAAGCAAGACCCACCTAGGCCAGAATGACTTATGCCCTGTCCGTCAGGAATAACCACCCCCTTAGCATGCAGGTGGAGAGGTTTCCCCTTCTCTGCTTCCCTCCGTACAGGCTGCAGAAAACGTCCAGGCAGGGGGGAGAACTGAACCCCTCCCAGTTCTTCCTGGGTTTCCCCTTGCCCACAGGAGCAGGAGCATCCCAGCACAGCAGTCAGTAGAGTGGTGGGTGAGTCTCACCCAGGGACATGGCTGCATCACTCACAGTACCTGAGTCTGTTCCCGGTGGGTTTGAGCGCACAGATCCCACAGAAGGCAGCAGGGAAGCGCAGGCTCCCTCCTACATCCGTCCCAAAGCCCAAGATGGACCCACCTCCTCCTATAAGTGCCCCTTCACCACCAGAGGAGCCTCCAGGGCTTCTGGTGTAGAGCAGAGGGTTGCGTGTCTGACCAAAGATGATGTTCTTGCAGTCATAGCTAGAGAGAGAGAGAGGTACTGCAAATAAGAATGTAGATATTTGCTGATGTAGACCCCAGCCACTACAAAAAGACCTTCAGAAGGTAATTAGGTAATTCACTAGTTGTTACACTCACATCACAGTCTGAGGGAGCTTCTCAAAGCCCCCATGAAGACCACCAGCATTTTCATGGCAATCCCAGGACCTGGATTCACTGCCAACTAGTTTCAGTGTTGCTGAGTCTTCCCCAGAGAGACCCTCTGGCAGCATAAATACTCCAAGCCCCCTAGAAAGCCTCCCTGTTCAAGTGGTCCCGAGTGCCACAGGACATGCAAAGCAGCCCACCTGGAACAGGTCCAGCCCCTGCCCCCTCCAAGGGAGCACTGCTTGGGAACAGGCCAAACACAAACTGCAGCATTATCTGAACATTGGACTGCCCTGGGAACTCATGCAAAGCCAAATAATCCCTGGGGCAACCTCTTTGTGGGGTTCTTTTTAAACATGCCCAGTCATTGCCATGTCACCTTAAGGAAGGCATTTCACACAGCTTGGGCAATAGCCATCCATGGAGCAGCCCTGCCAGAAGTGACCTGCCAGGACACAGGCAGGTGTGGGACACAGGACCATGAGCAGGTTGGCTGTCCAGCAGCACACCTGACGTATCAGTGAGCACATCCTGCATCAATGACATCAAGAGTGCTCTTCGTACAGGTTTGGGGGCAGGATAATGAAGAAAAGGAGGGTGAGGAGAGACCTTGTCACCCTCTACAACTACCTGAAAGGAGGTTGGAGCAAGGTGGGGGTCGGTCTCTTCTCCCAAGTTAACAAGTGGTAGGACAAGAGGAAATGACATCACGTTGCGCCAGGGGAGGTTTAGGTTGGGTACTATGAAAAATTTCTTCACTGAAAGGGTTGTCAAGCATTGGAACAGCCTCCCCAGAACAGTGGTGGAGTCCCAATCCCTGGAGTTACTTAAAAGATGTGTTGATGTCCTGCTAAGGAATGCTGTTTATTGGTGGACTTGACGGTGTCAGGTTAATGGTTGGACTTGATGATCTTAAAGGTCTTTTCCAACCAAAATGATTCTATGGTTCTATAATAATTAGCTTAACTAGCTAACTAGCTTCCCCTTCCATGAATACAGGGTTGCACTATATAGTTAACAGGACCATCTCTAAGGGATTTAAAAAAAAAGAAAAAAAGACAAAAAGAAAAAAATAATGTAAAAACACCCAATACAGAAATGAGGGCAATGACTTCTCTCCTCCTCCTCTTTTGCTTCTTTATTTCATTTGGTACTAGAGTTAATTTTCATCCTTAGTGTACATGTGTTTCATGAAAACTTTAAGACACTAAAGATGGGGACCAGGTGCTGCTTTTTAAAAAGAGGTGGGAAGTGAGAATTAGACTTGATAGAAACCATCACTTGAGATGCAGGAGGGAGGAATGAAGGAATGGAATGTTCACCTACCTGATGAGGGACTGGGGAACGTTGGTTTTGACAAACGGAATTGCCCCCTGCCTCCTGAGCACCTGCACCAAGACGCTGTCCTCTGCTGCGGGTTTATTGATGTTTTTTATAAACCCTAAAGTGGAATCATAACCCTGGGAACACAGGACAATGAGATTTCCAAACGGAGAACTGCAATTCCCCCTGCCCCTGTACTTTTATCTATCATCTATCTATCTAAGCATGTGCGTGCACCTCCAACAACCCTCCTATCCCACACATGTTGTGTAGTGTATTGGTTGTAAACCTGACCAGCCTCCTCTGTTGGCTCATATGGGAGATGGGCAGCAAAGCCCATCCCTGGCCAGGGCCATCTCACATCAGCCATGACAGAGCCAAGCTAGATGTTAAGCTCAAACCTCCCCTGGCCACCAAACTCCAAACCACACAGATTGTGGGATACCCGCGGCATCACGCTGGCAGTACCTGGCAGTTGATGGAGTCTTTGATGCTGACAGGCACCCCGTAGAGCAAACCTGGCTTCCTCGGACTCGCTTTCCGGAGCTGGGTCTCGCTCTCCTCCAGATACTCCGTGATGCAGTTGGTTTCTGTGGCGATCTGGAGGGCCTGGGGGAAAGCAGGCAAAGCATGCAGGTAAGACGCAGCCTGCAGCATTGCACAACAGCCTTCTGCTTTGTGAAGGACACCCACCGCCTCCACCCTTTCCACCTCTCCATCACGGCAGTGGGCATCAGGGCAGCCCTTTGCGTTCCTTGACAAGATGTTTTCACACCAAACTCCAAAGCATCATCTGGACACGGTGGGGCCATAGCACCAGCTGGTGTGTGATGAAGGGAGGTACTTAGCACAGCAAAATATTAAAGGCTCGTTTGAGCTTCTGAGGTGGCATAAAATGATAACCCCAAAATGGGAATCCAGGAGGTAATCAGGGCTTTATGGCAAAAGTAGAGAAAGAAAGTGGACACTGAGTTTTTGAGGTTTACCAGCTCATTTGGTGATGGAGGGGAGAGAATAGTGGCACTCTGTAATCTCCCTATAACCAAACCTGCCCCTGGGAAGGTATGAGCTCCTCTTGGAAGCTATGGGCTCTCCAGATGCTGAGCTTGCTGCTTACTTTTCCTCCAAACCAAGTCATGGCAGACAGAGGCCCACCCTTCCCCACACTCACAGAAAAGCACAGAAGGGCCCAGCACTAACCACCAGGCAGTGACAGCTCAGCAGCATTTGAACCAATATTTGAAACCTGTGCTGGGCTTCTCCCCAAATGAGCCAGCCCCACCACGGGTGAGATGCTGCCTTGCCACCCTTGCTCCTCACCTTCCCCACGTAGGCATAGAAGACGTGCTCCGGAGGGAGGGAACCATCCCGGAGTTTCTTGGAGAGCTCCGGCAAAGGCAAAGAGAGGATGGAGACCATGTTCACGGAAGGATGCTACGAGAAAGTGGGAACAGGCAATGACACCTCTACCTCAGGTGGTGGGCTCCTCCTCTCCCCTTGGTGCTGACTGCAACTCATCAAAGACTTATCTGCCATTTAGTGGTCGAATGCAATATCTGCCTCAAGACCACAGTCCTGCTCCTAGTTGGCATCAATGAGCACGGTGTGAACACTGCAGAGCCGTTGGTAGCCCCAGGCTTTCTAAAGCCGCCTTTCCCTGGCCAGACCAGTCCCACCAGCACCTGTTGCTTAAGAAACAGCATTTCAGGCAGCCTTGTTCAGGCAGGTCTCAGCCAGGCCTGGGGGAAGCGCTCAGTGCAACGTTCTCTGCTGAAACGGAGTGGGAGTTGGCGGCACGGTTACAGACACTGCTCCAGCAAGAAGCAAAACCGGACCTGCTGCCAGCTCTTCTCCTGGCATCACCAAGATATCCTACAGCAGAGTGCACAGACCAGGCAGCCCCTCAGCTGGCAGCAGGCAGTTTTTAGGTCAGCAGGTATTTCCCCACCACCTACTGCATGCCATGAAAACATCATCAAGCCTCCTCCCCCCACGCTGGACTCCGACCCCGAGCGGGTCCCCTC